CTATACGAACCATGCCCAGGCCCGTTTCCCGGATTGTTTAAGAAGTGTGAGTGCGCTGAATAGGGCTCAGGCACGGTTCACTTGGCCGGCCCTGGCCTGGTTGGAAGAGATGGGCCTGAGCGCGGTTCACTTGGGCTTTGGCCAGACATGAAAGCGAGACGTGACTTTAAGGGACTGTTTCATATGGATTTATTAATCATTCTTACTGTTCAATCAACGCAAACTGCCATAGTTTATTAAAGATGAAAACCCCTCACTGCACGACAGCTGCGTGCCTTCAGCAGACCTCCTCATTCCTGCAGCACGAGAGCTTTATGATTGTTTATGAGTGCCAAAAGTGGTGGATCTGTTCGGCGAAATATTTGACTGCATGTCGCTGCATATCAAACGACTGAAATGATATAACCAGAGAAATCTCCACTGTGCTGAGCGAGAGTGCTTCTCACTGAACAGCGCAGCATCAATGACGTAAGCTTGCCCAGGCCAGATTGTAGTGTGAGTGCGGGCCTTCGGGGGAGACGGGAGTGGGGACAAGTGTGCTTTGGCCCGGTTCGAGGCAACAGTACCTAGTGTGAGTACGGCCTTAGTTGTTGGTTCAAGAGTTCACACTTAGCTGATAACTGATTATAAGCAAGTATGGCATGCTGTCCTGGGAGAGAACCCTGAGCTCAAAAGGTCCTTGAGCCCTGGGCTCCCTCCTGTTTGCAGGCCGAGAGGGGAGCTTTGAGCTCAGGTAGATCTTGACAACTCCCCCCTTGATAAGAGCTGATGACTTAAATGAATGCTATGAAGAGATATGCTGTAGGATGAAAGTTTGACTGTAGCACTAAATTTAGATTGATCAATTCACTTGTAGTGCATATTTTCGGAGTATGGGAGGAAACCGGAGAAAACCCACGAGAGCACTGGAAGAGCATGTAAACTACGCACAGAAACCACAGCCGGCCTGTTAAAAGACAAGAACTGGTGACATTCTTACTGTGAGGCTACCGTGCCACCCTAAAAGGAGAACGGTGGAGAAGTAGGGGTGGAATGGGGATTCTTTAAATCGAAGATGGCTGTAGTGAGAAACCCTGGCTCTTTATAGTGGGTTAGGAATAGCCTGATTGGTGGATCATACATAGATAGTGCAGAACCAGCCGTGTTCAGTCATAATCACATGATCTTCTCGAAATCAAGCTACGGTCACACTAGAGTTTGTGCATGCGAAATTCTGTCATACGGCGCTACGAAAAGGGGCGGGATTAAACAAGCTTATTAGACATTTTAAAAAGTGAGCGATTGCTCCATGTTTTAAATTTCTGCCCAGAGATGTCATGTTTCACGCAGTCAAGTGATGAGATTTCGCAGGTCAGAGTTCACCAAGCTTGAACTTTGCACCGCAGCAACCTGCGAAACTTGACGCATGACCCCGCGTTTCCGGTCTGACGCATTCACGTGCGTATGAATGGAAGTCTATGGGAGGAAAAGCCTAGTGTGACCGCAGCTTTAGTCTATAAATAAACTTCAATTAATGGATATCAGTGAATCTGCAGTCCAAGGGGGAATAGGACGATCATTCAACTAGTGTGGAACAATGAATGAAAAGGTTTTGGAAGAGGAGATGCAGTGTCAAAAGACTGTTATTTTTTACAACATAAAAAGTATTTTAAAAGGTGTTAAAAATAGTTCAGAAAAAAAAAATGTAAACGTTTGATGAACAGTACAGTCGAAAAATAGAACCTAACTCTTTGTTGTTTTTCATTAAGTGATTTTCGGTAAAATACACTGTGGTCTATTAAGTCCAATTTGACCAAGTCCGTCCAGAAAATCAGCAAAAAATGACAGAATACATAGGTTATTGCAGATTAAATTGATCTTGCATGGAGGGCAGTCAATCAAAAGCGCTACAAATTTCAAATGGCAACGTTATTCTTCCTCTTCATTTGCCTGTTCATTTTAGCTCAACAACCTTAAAGGGCCATGAAACCCTCCTGTTTCAGCAGGGTGTTTTTACACCTCTAGTTTGGAAAAAGTGAGGAAAGTGGGTGTGTCTAGCTCTGTTTAAGTGGGAGTGTCGGGGGAGGGAACAGGAGAAGGATTTGAATAAAAATGGGAGTTTTCATTTGGGCACATGCTGATTTTCACAGAGGCAAAACAAACACACACGCAGGCATGGGCGTAAATCTGATTTAACAGTAGGGGGAGACAATAAATACAAATTTTTTTGAGCATTTTTCTAAAGGGGACACAAATAATACAACCGAATTGTACTAATACAGGTATGTCCCCACAGTTAAAAATGGTTTCATCATTATTATTATAGCATGGAGACTACGTCATTATGATTATTATCAAAGTTTTTCTCAGGTTCAACAACAAAGCAAATTTTTCTTCAAAACTATTTATTGCATTGTTTGTCGTGTTGTTTACAGTCAACAGACTGACTCCTGAAGCAGAATAAATGCAAGACATTTTCCATACTCATAATAACTACCTTGTTTACATTACACTTGTTAAATTTACAGCTCATATTGTAAATCTGTGAACCTGTGAAATCTGCTAAACAGCCACAACTCCAAAAACATTAAAAAAAAAAAAACCTCAGAAGAATTGTCATTATCCATTCAATAAAGCACAACAACCTTACCTGACACTGTGCATCTGACTGACCCTGCTCTGCCTGTTCCTCAATCATTTATTTCTCCTTTGCCTGTTGTTGATAATGTGACATTAGTATTTTCATAAGCACTCATTCTTAAAGCCAAATTGCTTAATATGTAAAGTTGTTGTACTTTCTGTTTAGCTGCACTTAAAAATGATCTTATGCCCCTTTTCTCTGACATTTTATCCAATACATGACACTGCAGTGCAAGTTTATTTATACTGTAGCACATTTTATAAACAATGGTAATTCAAAGTGCTTTACATAAAGATTACAAAACTATCATAATCCCAACAATAAAAACACAGAGTTAAAAAAGGTTAACATTTAAATTTCAAACTAATTGAGTCACTTAAAAAAAGAATAGAAACTGATTATACATAAATACAGTGGGGTTAGTGTGCTCAGTGTAGCACAGTGCTCATTTAGCAAATACACAGCTAAACAATATGCTAATTGTGGTCGTTAATGTTAAGTTAATGTTATGCCAAGTCGTCACAAATGAAACAATGCATGGGAAACGGCTTTAGCATTAGCAACAAGCTAACGTTAACTAGATAAGTAATTTTAATTACTAATAAAGCAGATTCATGGACAATTACACAACTAATTTACGCAACTAATTTATGAATGAGTCTGTAATAACTACATTGAAGAGAATCACTTTATTTAAGGATAAAACCCCCTACTTACTTACTGAAATTCAACATTAACACAGGCGCAGCCGCACACACGTGCGTGTGTGTGAGTAGGTGAGATGAGGGAAAAAAATAAATAAATAAGCACACAGTGGACCGAACCACTTTGAGAAAGGGAAGGAGGAACTCAACTGCTTCTAAATGCATTTTAAATGATAAATACAGTTTTCTTTCTGCGTAGACAATTATTTTAGGTATATATACATATTTTTTTGTAATTGAGAGTGGTTGTTTTTTTTGGGTGGGGGGTGGGGGGCAACCCTCGGATGGGAGGAAACATGTTGACTTTATTATTTAATGTTACTGTATATAGTTAATAAAGTTTAATTAAAACACAGTATATAGTTGACAGCATGATGAATTTCCTGATGTTCCACATGGTGGAACAAAACAAACAATATAGTCTGGTCATGTAGGAAACACACCATACACCACATTCAGATGACCAATATTAACAATACAAAATAAAGGTTAAAAATGTGCTAATTTCAAATTTAAATGTATAAAGAGACAACTTAAACCACTTCAGATTTGGGCATAAATAACCTAATAAATACAAGGTGGGTGATAAATACCCTGCTAAAAAAATCCAGCTTGAACCAGCCTAGGCTGGTTGGCTGGTTTTAGCTGGTCGACCAGCCTGGTTTTAGAGGGGTTTTGGCCACTTCCAGGCTGGTTTCCAGCCATTTCCAGCCTGGTCTTAGCTGGTCAGGCTGGGAGATGACCAGCTAAAACCAGCTTGACCAGCCTAGCAGGCTGGGAGCCCAGCCAAAACCAGCTATGTCCAGCTTAAACCAGGCTGGTCAAACTGGTTTTAGCTGGATTTAGCTGGTCATTTTCCAGCCTGACCAGCTAAGACCAGGCTGGAAATGGCTGGAAACCAGCCTGGAAGTGGCCAAAACCCCTTTAAAACCAGCCTGGTCGACCAGCTAAAACCAGCCAACCAGCTTAGGCTGGTTTAAGCTGGATTTTTTAGCAGGGTAGCAAGGCAATATTTAAGACTTCAGACTGGTCACAGTCTGTAAATAGCTGATAGTAAATAAAGTTTCAGTATTAGAAAGTATAAAGCAGTATTAGAAATATGGACCTTACGTCCAAATTGTAATGGCTTGTTCATTTCAACCCACCCTGTGTCTACAATCAGCATAAATGACAAAACTACAAACTGCAAGGAACATATTACCAAACATTAAACAAATTTTAAAAATTACGTTATTAAAAAACCGCCAACAATCAAATGCAGTGAAAAAACGCAAATTATACAACTCTATTTTTGTTATAGGACAATTTTAGACTGAGATACACCTTTCAAAAATCTTGGGGAAAAATCTAAACATTTAGAAAATGACCTTTAAAGTTGTCTAAATTAAGTACTAAAAGTACCAAAAGCATTGTACGTTAATAATCTAAAATTGAGTTTTGATATATTTACAGTTGCAAAATGTCTAAATATCTAAGTTTAATGAACAGAATGAAGAAGATGGAATCCAGCCCATAATGCATAATTAAACTAATAAGGTCTTAAATGCTTTGTGGTTCATTGTTCTTTATGAAAGCATCAACTAAAGACAAACCCTTATACAGGTGTGGTGTACAGGTGTTGCTCATTACCACTCACATCAGTGGCCTATAAATATGAATCAGTAAAGATGTCATGCACTGTGGAGGACAACAGTAGAATCATGTTCTTGCTAAGTTTATTTCTCACCAGTGAGTTTCTTGTGGGGAAAAAAAAAAATAAATAAATAAATAAATAATCATCATTTGGATTAAGTTTTGTGCTGCTAATAATGTCTCAGTGATGAGTAGTGCACAGGTGTCTTAATCAGTTCTTTTTGTTTCTCAGTGATTCTTCTGAACTCCAGCTTGCTGATATCAGCAGGTCGTGGTGGGCATGATGGTGGGCATGACGGCCACAGTCACGGTGGGCACAACGGCCACAGTCACGGTGGGCACGATGGCCACAGTCACGGTGGGCACGGTGGGCATGATGGTCACTATCATGGTGGGCACGATCATGATGGTCATGACAATGACTACTGCAGGAGGTCTACTGGTGAGTTTCTCAATGTCCCAGAATGTTACTTTGTTTGTTTGTTATTTTTGTTTAATCTTTCACCTAAACTTCACTGATTTGAGTAATGCTTAACGTTTATTGGTTATTTTGCTCAATTGATCAGTGAGTAAAATCTCCCAGTTTAAGATACTGAAGTGGAACTTTCATTTTTAGACACCAAAACCGCATGTGAAGGTTCTGTCCTGCATCTGTCCTGTCCTGGTAAGATGCTGAAGTTTCACAATCTGGTTAATCAGTGCTGGTTAAATAATACTGTTTGTTACATGCATTTTTTTTTCTTGCCTCCTGTAGATCATTTTAAGATCAAGATCCTTGCTGCAAACTATGGACGTACAGATCGCACAACCTGTGTTGACTATCATCCATGGAGGGAAATCAAAAAAACAGACTGCTATTCATATCACTGTCTGACTGATGTGTCTGCAAGGTAATGTTTTATTTTTTTTTTTAACTGGATATCTGGTTTCTAATGGGTCCGTTTACGGGTATTATGTGCAAAAGCGAACTGAATTGAATCCAGTCTTTACTCAAATGGGATTCATGAACCGTCATTTTGTAGGTGTGATGGACGCAAGAGCTGCTCTATACCAGCCACCAATGGTGAATTCTCTGATCCGTGTTATGGCACATACAAGTACCTGAGGGTCAAATACTGCTGCAAGCGTAAGTTACTCTACAAAGCAAAGAAATTGCTCTACTGGTGTTTACGTGACCTCATTAAGCTTTGTTTTAACTTCTCTCGCAGGTCCTAGGAGTTGATCTTGTGGATCAGAGTCCTTTCTCTGCCAGCATCTCCACTGAAGTTTGTTCAATAAAAGCTTTTAATGTTAATGAACTCTTGGTTTTTATTTAAAGTGTAATTATTAAATGTCTTTGGAACCCGTCACTGAAGCAGAGGTGATTTAAGGCTGTTTGTGGTTTAATGGAGCCGGACACAAAGATGAACTTCTGCAACTATAAAAACCGTGGTAATTTTCATGTTAGACCTCTAAGCTTAATACAGTTTGGTGTGCAGTAACATTTGAGCCTCAAATACAGTTAGGTTGTACATGCAATTATTCACTCCCCAAAACCAAGTCTAGTAAAACTCCCTTCTGTCTTACGAGTGCAAAGTTTAAGTGATAGTTGCAATGCCAGCTAGGATTTTTTTTTTTTTTTTTTTTGTGTGTGTGCAACTTCAAGGATTTAAAACTGCAGTCAGTCTTGCTGTTCTTAGCTGACAGGAATGGTACCTGGTGTGCTCTTTGGTTGTTGTAGCCTATCTGCCTCAAGGTTGGATGTTTTGTGTATTTTGGTTGCGCTGAGTAGTTACTGAGTTTGTTGCATATTCTCAGCTTGAGCTAAATTGGCCATTCTCCTCTGGCTTCAACGAGATGTTTGTGCACAAAACTGCTGCTAACTGGAATTTATTTTTTTTTTTTCTGGTCCTTAAGCTATTCCCTGTAAAACCTTACAAATGGTGGTTTGTGAAAATCCCAGTAAACCAGCAGTTTCTGAAATACTCAGACCAGCCTGTCTGGCACCAAAAGCCATTTCATGGTTAAAGTCACTTAAATCTGTTTCTCAACCACATTCCTGGTTTTGGATGTCTCCTTTTGGCCGTCACACACATAACAGGTCTTTCAGTCTCTCCTGATGATCTGTTTGATTAAGGAGACATGGGAAATGTGCAGAGCTGGCATTTCTCCAGGATCATGGTTGAGAAATACTAACTTAAATAACCTTTCTCTCCATTCTGATGCATGGTTTGAACAGCAGCAGATCATCTTGACCACGCCTAAATGAGTTGCTGCCATGTGATTGGCTGATTAAAAATTTGTGTTAACAAGTAGTTGGACAAATTTACCTAATAAAGTGGCCTGTAAGTGCATTTTATATTAACAATTATTACTTTTATCAACCTAATTGTACTGTTAAAGTATTTGTAGTTTTTTTTTGTTTGTTTGTTTTGTCAACAGCAGTTATGCAAACTGCTCATTGTTTTGAATTTTGTTTTTGATGGGACTCTAACACTTCTTTCAGCTTGTGAAAGTACATGGCAATCTGCACACAGAAAGCTATACTGGCAAAGGCAGCCATAGTGTAAATGTTTCAGTCTAAAATGTTTAAGTAACTAGGCTGCTAGATAATGAAATGTGACTACATGGACAGCCTGCAATATCTGTAGAGAAACAAATGTTAGAGAATCATAATAATATGAGTAAAGCTTACTTTATATTTAATTTTACTGTGACATATCAAAAAACAATTCCTAGTATTACTTAAAATCTCAATTGTCCAATAAAAAATGCTAATTTTATTCATAAAATCTACATCAGTAACCTTGTAACAGCATACATACAGTCCAGAAGGCTGTCTTGTCAAATGATACTTGTAAAACACCAATTAAAAACAGAATTAAATTAGTGTTTGTGGTTAATGAGTTTTTTTTTTTTTGTTATGAAATCTCAAGTAAACAATTATTTAAAAGCTAGAACAGCTAGTATTTCTCTTTTTTTATATACTAAATACAGTGGTTCATGATGATCGACTCCATAAGCATTTTAATGAAAATGACAATGTAGGAAATAAGTGCACTTAATAACCACGGCATTTTGTTTAAGAGTTTAACTTTGAGATGTTGATGATGTTAAAAAAGTTTTAACACCGCCTCACATTGTTTTTCCCCCTAAGATTTACAGAATGTACGTACATGTAGCATAGTATAGTAAACTACAGTATAGTAAAACAAGCATTCATGATTAAGGGAAAACAAAATACGAAACTACAAATCTCTGTGTGAAAGTGTTTGCCCCCTGAACCTCATAACTGGGTGGGCCACCCTTAGCAGAAACAACTACAGTCAAGCATTTTTTAATAACTTGCAATAAGTCTTGTTTTATATTATATTATATTATATTATGAAAGATAATCAATAGATTAATCAACCCCAAATTAACCTTTATTTTCAGAGACTAACAATACTTTTGAAACGTGTAATCTTAGTAGTCAATATTAATAATTCGCTAAATAAGACTTTAATTTACTGTACTGATTTATACAAGTCTATATTTGTACACATCAAAGAGGAGCTTATACTTAATTTCAAACTGAAAAAGAAAAATATTAAGAGGCATATATAAATAAACACATCCAAAACGATTTATAATATTGACTTTATTATTTAATGTTACTGTATATAATTAATAAAGTTTAATTAAAACAAACATACAGTTGACAGCATGATGAATAATGGAAATTCTGGAGACACATGGTGGAACAAAACAAACAATACAGTCTCTGGTCATGTAGGAAACACACCATACATCACATTCAGATGACCAATATTAACAATACAAAATAAAGGTTAAAAATGTGCTAATTTCAAATTTAAATGCATAAAGAGACAACTTAAACCACTCCAGATAGCATTTCGGCATAAATAACTCAATAGATACAAGGTGAGTGATAAAAAGCAAGGCAATATTTAAGACTTCAGACTGGTCACAGTCTGTAAATAGCTGATAGTAAATAAAGTTTCAGTATTAGAAAGTATAAAGCAGTATTAGAAATATAGACCTTACGTCCAAATTGAAATGGCTTGTTCATTTCAACCCACCCTGTGTCTACAATCAGCATAAATGACAAAACTACAATCTGCAAGAAACATATTACCAAACATTAAACAAATGAAAAAATAAAATTAAAAAATCTCTTATAAAAAAAACCAACAATCAAATGCAGTAAAAAAACGCAAATTATACAAACTCTATATTTGTTATAGGACAATTTTAGACTGAGATACACCTTTCAAAAATCTTAGGGAAAAAATCTAAACATTTAGAAAATTACCTTTAAAGTTGTCTAAATTAAATACTAAAAAGTACCAAAAGCATTGTACGTTAATAATCAAAAATTGAGTTTTGAAATATAACAGTTGCAAATCCACTAAAAGTCTTCACGGAACATGATTGTTACTTAATATTCGAATGATTTTTGGAATAAAATATAAAAATCTAAAATTTTGAGCTGGGCTATTGCCAAAAATATTCCTTACTCCCAGGACCAATTATATCAAAGTTAATATTAGGCAGCGCCATATTGATGTTTTGTAACTTTTTACATTTTTACGTTGTAGGTCATTTAGCCCCATGCTCAACCCCAAACCAGGAGCACCAGGACATACACACATAAATTACGGACAATTTAGCATTCCCAATTCACCTATAGCACATGTGTTTGGACTGTGGGGGAAACCGAAGCACCCTTAGGAAATCCACATGAACATGGGGAGAACATGCAAACTCCACACAGAAATGCCAACTGATCCAGCCGGGTCTCAAACCAACGACCTTTTTGCTGTGAGGCGACAGCGTTAAGGCATACTCACACTATGTACAGTTGTGTCGAACCAGGCCAAAGCACGTTTGTCCCCCCTCCCATCTCCTCCGACGGCTCCCTGTACTCACATTACAATCGGGCCTGTGCCGGCTTACGTCATCGATGATGCGCTGTTCAATAAGCGCTCTCGCTCAGCACAGTGGGGATTTCTTCAGTTATTTCGCTTTAGTCGTTTGGGATGCGATGACATGCAGTCAGATATTTCACCAAACAGATCAGTCACTTTTGACACTCATAAACAACCATAGAGTACTCGTGCTGCAGAGATTAGGAGGTTTGCTGAAGGTGGTTTGTGTCTTTAATAAACTACAGCAGTTTGTGTTCACTGAACAGTAAGAATGATTAATAAATCCATATAAAACAGTCCCTTAAAAGTCACGCTTTCAGTTTCGGGCTTTGGCGCGATTTGCACTTACACACAAGCGTACCGCGCCAAGGCCCAAGTGAACCGCACTCAGGCACACCTCTTCCTACCAGGCCAGGGCCGGCCAAGTGAACTATGCCTGAGCCCGATTCAGCGCACACACACTTCTCAAATGATCCAGGAAACGGGCCTGGGCACGGTTCGAATAGCATAGTGTGAGTAGGCCCTGAATTACTGCACCACCATGCTGCCCCTAAAAAATTTTTCTATCCAAAATAAATCTAATGTTGTGGTCCAGGGACACATTTTTGAGCAGCCTTAGCATCATAAAAGTTATGCAAAAACAAAAAAAACATAAACAGTAAAAGATATCATGTTCAAAATCAAACATTTGTTCATGTCTGTCTCTTCACACTTTTCCAGAACTCTACTATCTGCTTTGGTGACCTTGCGATTGTTGTGATGACCTTGGAAAGGTCGTGGTGTTTGGGATCCTTCATATATGTCCGAAACTGAGAAGGATCAGGAGATCGTGAAGGTTTAACTCCGATCTGCTTCAGACAAGCACCAATATATGCATCTTCAATGTTAAATGGCGCCACGTCCTTCGAAGCCTCAACTAGTTTTTTAGGAAGATCATTTGAGAAAACATACGCTACTCCTAGCACGTATGTAGGATATTTCGTATCGGGATACAGCTCCTCTGAGACGTAATATCTAGATTTTTTGTTTCTAATAACAGGCCGGTCCCACATCAAAAAACCTGTGATGTAGTTCTGCCTGGGTAATTCGGGTCTCAGTAACAGGGTCATTAGGTTCTCAAGGTTTATATACATGTCAGAATCGACCTTCATACTGAACGTCGCTTGAGGGCATCGAGTGGCCAGCCAGTCCATCGTCACCATGGTCTTTATGGTCAGGTTGAAGTAGGAGTCCACAAAGTTGCTCTGGATTAAGTCTCTGTGTTGTCGACTTTCTTCCTCCAGCTGCTGTTGAGCTTTTTCAGAGTCTGCTCCTACAGTCAAACCCACCACAAAGAGAGTCAACACTGTTTTCCCCTGGACTGTGGTTTCATTCCCCCATGTGCTCCGGATGGCGTTTCGAGCTTCTCTCTGATACAGAGCAACCGGAACCATGAAGACCACGAATGGATTTATCTGCTTGCATTTCTCGTGTTCGTCTATAATGAAGTGATAGTTGCTTGGGTGAGCCACATACTGATGCTGTGGAACAGGGTTGGTGCTAATGGATGTAGTTGAGTGCATTTTGTTCCAGAAATCTTTGGAGACAGCCAAACTTTCAGTTTTGCAGGACTTAATTAAATTAACCACATTAAAATGGTTGTAAGGACTATGATAGATGTAAGCAACAACAAGCAAAGATAAGGTCAGCACGACTAGCAGAATAAATCCTCTTTTAATGTGATGCATTGAAGCTGGATCCGGAGTTAAACAGCATCTGAAGAAGAAAGAAAAAAAAAAGCTGTCAGGAAATATTCCATGTTTAGAGCAGCAGGGATATGAAAATGCCCTCATCCTTTACTCACTTTCAAGTGACTCTAATCTTGTTCTTTTGGTAATGCTTTAATTTACAACCCACAAAGTATCGCGTAAGTACAGTGAAATAATGATGTAATTGTCTGTAAGTATAGTACAAGTATAAAGAACGTATGCATACACTGTAAAACTTTTCATTTTACAGAATAATACTGCCAGCTGGTTTGCCAGCCACATCCTGTGTTTTTGTAAATTCTGTACACCGTAAAAAATACCCTGTAAATTACCAGTAAAATACTGTCAGTTCCAGTTGCCAGTAATGTACTGTTAATTTAAAGTCTGTTGCTGTAAAAATACATGCACTGAATTAAAAATCATGTAAACTCATTTCATTCACAGTACAGACTACCTCAATTTGGCCAACTGCTGTTTGAGTTTATGAAGAAATATTTCTAATGCGTTATATGCTTAACACAAGCACGTTTATAACGATGACTTAGTTTAGTAATTTAAAAACATTCAGTTTAACCCAAATCTCTTGTAGCTCACATGCATGTACAGCTAGATTTAACATAGAGACGCTCACTGCAACAGCAGCTACTGTCTTTAAATCAAGAAACATGCAGAACAACAGGAGTGCTTTATGTTCATCTATGACTCAAACATCGGCTCTACTCTCCTCCACCATGGTGACACACAAAAGGGACAGAAGAATTTTGACTCACGTTTTACAGAAAAATACATTTTTTTTTCTTCTTGATTTTTCTGAATAATGCTCGCAGTTGGGTTGCCAGCCACATACTGCATTTTTGCAGTCCACTCCTGTAGTTTACATTTACAGTATATTACTGTTAAAATAAAGCCCTATACTGTGTTTTTACAGCTTAAACCCATTAAACCCCACAGCAAAATCCTCAGTTTTAACTGAACACTGCCATGAGTCCACACTACTGAGGAACAGTAAAACAGATAATGAAGATAATGAGTCTAATTAAAACACAATTGAAACTGCCTCACCCAACATGCATTGCAGCATGAAATATTAATTTGTTACCATTGTTGAAATCTGATTTTTGGGCTCTGAGTGTGTCTTTGTCATAACAGTTTTTTTTTTAAATTCAATCTTAACTGGAACATCAATTGGTTATTTTTCACATTTCTGCTTGTCATTGAAACTGTGGAAAATAACAAACTATTTCATATGATCAATCAACACTACTATGATTTTACTAAACCTAGCCCAATCAGAGCAATACTGAATCACATTATAACAAGAGTGTTTTATAAACTCTAAGTTACAGCACCCAGAGAAAAACTAAAGCTAATAATTCAAGGGTGATGAGCCCAACTAAAGCAGACTCCATTATGGTGACACCAAACTAAATAAAACACCTAAACCTCTGTTAATTCTCAATAAGAACTGTATGCAAGACAAAGCAGTCAGTAGTGAATCTGCTGATGCGGTTTGTGGAGTTATTTAATGATCCTCTGCAGAGACTGAAGGTGTTTTTTTTTACTTGATTTTATTTAATGCTGTAACTGAAGTCACTGTTTGTGTTTATTGTTTCTCTTTCCTTCAGTGATCGTGATTATTAGAGCAGGTGTTCATCAGTGTCTGAATTCACTCATTTGTGTTTATAAACTCTGTCAAGTAAACCATGTTGGTGAACTAGTGTGCATAATAGTGAACAAGGGCAGAAAGTGTGATTTCAAACACAGACCCTGAGTGCCAACTCTGAGTTCTGTAAATTTATAGCTTACTACTTTCTTAGAAACAACAAGATTACCCAGAATGCACAGTTTTTTTTTTCACAGAGTATCACTGTTTTAGTGAAAATACAGAATTTTACTGTAGAATGTTGCTGTTTTTTACAGCAAGGTTTTACAGTGTATGTATGAGGAAACAAACCATATGCTTGAGTAATAAGAGGATAACAAACAGATATGCAACATGCAAAGTACCGTGTAAGTATATTGAATTTACAATCTTTTGCAAGCTGCAAACACCTGCATAAGTAAATTAATAATATTGCCCTTATTCAGTGATGGGTTGTATGCGGGGTGTTTTACGGGGAAAATACATGTACATCTACTGAATTGCAAAAGTTGCATATTGCCCCCTATCTGGTTGTTACCCCCTTATCACCCAAGCATTACAGTTTGTTCCCTTACACAGGATATATGCAGGAATCCTAATCATTCAATTAATGATTAATTTCAATACCTTTCCTAGCCTTTTTAAAGAGCTTCTCAAAATATTTTAAGACCTCATCACCACTTCAAACATTTACCTTAATAGTAATTAACATTTGTTAATAAACAGTTTAAGTTAAATAAATCAATGGAGTAATAAGCTCGGAAGAAACAAAGCTTGAAAGAATAAGTTACGTATTTATTTTTAAAAATTTTTTTAGTAAATGGCTTCAGCCACTGTTTAAACTCTTCTTTCTCCAACCAGGAGTATGCAAACTTACATTTTGCTCTACCGTTTTACTACATGTGGAGAGCATCACATCACCCAGACATCACCCAGACGGAGAAGCTTGGCCGGACACGTCCAGGCCTGAATCGTATGGATTGAGCATGTCGTTGTTAATATTAGGAAGAAAATAAATATATTTATGCTTTTTTTGGAGTCACTTTGGATAACACTTGAACAAAATGTAAGACCTGGTAAAAATGTGATTAAGACTTTTAATACATTTTAAGGGCCTTCATTTTCTAATTGATTTATCAATGTGTAATACTTTTCAAGACCCTGCGGGCACCCTGTTATACCTACCCATAAGTTCTTTATACTTATACTATACCTACAGAAAAGTACACCGTTATTTCACTGTACATATGTGGTATTTTGCAGGTTGTAAACTAAATCGTTATCGTTCTTTCTTTTGTTAAACACTGCACACAATGTTGTGAAGAATGTTGGAAAAAAGCAGTTGCTGACATCCATAGCAGGAACAAAAAATACTATGGATAAAATAAAGGCTGTTTTTCCCCCCACAGCATTTTTTTACAGAAGAAACTCGAACATATTTGAAACAAGGGTGAGTTAATGATGACAGGATTTTCCTTTTTCGGCCTGTACTAATTGGTCAAACGGGAAAAAACAAACATTTAGAGTGCCACTGCAGAAAAGTTATAGCAAAGCAATTCAAGTCTGATATCTAATATCTTAGGCTTATATCTTCATTAATACTGCTCATACATATATTTTACCATCTATTCCTTATTACAAATTTATAAATATTGCTCTCTTTGCAGCTTACTAAGCCCTTTACTATATGACCGAGCAGCTTCCACATTTCCCCCCATGGTTTAGGCGTTTTCAGGAGTACATGAACTGTGCAATCCAGGCTGTTGTTTACATCTGAGTATTGCCAGTATAGCCATGTATACAAGTAACTGAACAAATCTTGTGCAAATGCTGTATAGTTCCCCTTCGGGGGGAACTCCAGCACTATAAGTGGATTTGATTGTTAAAATCCACGTATGGGGAGGTTCGGTTCAGAAGCTACTCGTCTGAAAGAGTATTGAACGGGCCAATTAAGAATGAATTGGCAGCGCAAGCCTGCTCAGGTGAGCGGCATAAGCAATCAACTGAGTATATAAGCTCACCTGGCGCCAGCAGACGCTATCCTTTTCGCTTCAGAGACTTTCTGATCGAGTCGATGAGGGTTCCTCCTGCTGTGACCAGCGGTTCTGAGCGAACGAGAGCATTCTCCCGGTCCAGAGTGTGTACACGCAGCGGCAGACGGTCGAGCTGGGTTTCTCCCTTGCCTGGCGTTCTTTGGGTCCGGTCCTCCAGAGCGGTGCGTATAAAGTTGCAAACTTCACAGAAAGAGCAACACAGTCGTGCAGCACGTCCTTTTCAGGACGGCGCTCCGACTGTGCGTTTCTGGATGCGGTGGTTTCCTGTCCTCGGATGATGGGCGCGGGCACTGCGTTACATGTCTGGGGGTCCAGCATGTTAATGCGCTGCTCGCGGGCAGTTCATGTCGTCATTGCGATGCCATGACTGTTGCGCAAGATCGCGGTTAGCCTTTGCAAAAGGGCGAACCACCCCAGTTGTCCCCTGCTCTGCAGCGGGCACTCGGGCAGATCTGAGGGTTTCAGCGAGAGATAATCCGTCGCCCACGGGCCCGCGGACCTCCTGCACCTCTAAGCGCTCCATCCAAGCTTCGGGCGGGGGAAGCGATCCGTCTAACAGATGGTAGCCCTTACGCCCGATGACACCGGAGACCAGATGTCCACCGCGGCATCGGAGGGTGGGCTTTCATTGTCCGATGATGATCCAGACCCGCTCGCCCCCTTCGGGCTGGTGAGCGCTGTCACTACGGATCCTGAAACGGACATGTTAGCCGTGCTTTCCCGGGCTGCTTCGGCCGTGGGTTGGAGATGGTTTATCCCCCAGCTCCGCGGCCGGACCGACTAGAGGGGCGTTCCCTTCTTCCCGGAGGTGCACAGTAGGCTCACGCGGTCTTGTAAAGCACTTTTTTCTGCTCGTGCTGCGTGTCCCTCCACCCTAACCACTCTTGACGGTGAAACAGCCAGGGGGTATGTGGCGATTCCTCAGGTTGAGTGCGCGATGGCGGTAAATCCGCGCGGCGCCTCTTCTTGGCGGGGTCCGCCTCGTCTCCCATCCAAAGCCTGTAAGTTATCTACCTCCCTCGGAGCTAGAGCTTACATAGCTGCGGGCCAGGCTGCTTCCTCCTTGCATGCGATAGCCACCTACCAGCGCTACCAAGCGCAGGCGCTGGCCGAGCTGCACGAGGGTGGGTCCAACCCAGGCTTACGAGCTTCGCACCGCCGCCGACTTAGCTCTTCGGACTACTGAGTCCGCTGCGTGTGCGTTGGGGAGGACGATGTCCACATTAGTGGTCCAGGAGCGCCACCCCTGGCTGATATGCGCAAAGTCGACAAAGTCCGCTTTCTTGACTTCCCCATATCCCCAGCCAGGTT